ACCGGAGGCACCGGCAGTCTGGGGAGGCTGTGAAGCGGTGATCCAGCCATCGCACCTCAGCGCTGCTGTTGCACCGATCTAGAAAGCAAAGAGCAAAGAACAGGTTCAGTGCTTTTGAATCCCTGGGAAAAACCCTTTTCCCTCTTTTTTACCCTGCTAATGTGTTGATTATGTCTTTTTTTTCCTCAGATGCTGACTCTGGAGAGAAGAAAGTCGATCCTGAGCAATGCCTAAAGCTACCTGATGTAACCACAGTTAGCAAGAACGTTAGTCCCCATGAGACGACTGGAGCGGCTATGAGGAAAAGATCCCACAGAAGTCCCAGCCTCAAGAAAAGCCCCTTTGGACCTAGTCCCAAGAGGCTGTCTCCCTGGAGAAGCAGTTCCAGGAAAGACCGTACATCGAGTTCTTTTAACTTGTCCCCGAGACGGCTCATCACCACTCCTCAAGCCAAACGTCGCTCTTGGCGTCGTTCGAGCCTGAAGGGGACAAAACGCCGAAAATCTCTGCCTCCCGTTCACCAGGATGTCACTGGTACATCCTCCCCTTCTTCCCTTTATCAAACTCTCTCAAGAAACTTGCAGGGCAGCCTACAGGAAGGTGAAATTGGATTTCATGGCAGAACCTTTAGGTTGATTACAGCATAATTGCATTATTCCTAACTAGTAGCCACTGATGTCTGTGTTGGAAGTGGTCTGGGAGGTCCAGGTGCTTGAGGATAAAAGGAGATCTTGCATTAACGGCTGGTGTAGACCAGTGGCTTGCAGTCTCTGCCTTTTTATTTCCATGGCTGAGCCTTAAGTGTGACTTCTCCTCGTTAGGAGCTCTGTTTCTTCCTCTTTTTTCCCTGTTCATTCCATATCCTGCAAACCGCACTCCTATACAACAGCAGGTTTTAGCGTCTTTCAGAAATATTTTAGCCGTTTGCAGGTTGGTGTGAATGTAATTTGTCTTAAACAAGTTTGTCCTGTTTTTTCAGAATTAAGCAAATCAATTAGCCTGGATCTGCCAGAGATAGACCGGCTTTCTGCGCTGTTGTTGTCCAGTTTCCAGGTAAGATCCTCTTTTTTAAAAAAGTGAATTATTTTTCTCTTGCTTGCCTTCTGCCACTAAATGTATGTTCTGATTTGTGTAAAACTGAGTTGTGAAATAGGGGCTGGGGAGGGAGAGAGTCCTTTCTCCTTCAGTAACACACCCTCCCACCGTGTCCTACAGCTCAGGAAAGGGCACTAAGACTTTCTTTTCCATCTTCTCTTAGTTTTCTGCGCAGAAGCTCGAACATATCTTGAAGCAGACTGACAGCTTTAGCCCTGAGGCTTTCCAAGCTAACGGTAAGGCGTGATATATGCATCAGCAAGGGTAATCCTGAACTTAAAAATACCGGCCCTTCCCTAACATCCTCTTAAAATGAAACCGGCTGTCTTCTAGAAAGGGTGGGTGCAGCCAAAAATATGGGAATGATGGTTTTGAGCAGTTTTTAAGATGCTGTGCATGACTTCAGTTTCTAGGAGGGAAGAGAAATGGACATGGTAAAGTAAACCGCGGCCACGGGGATGAGTTACGCCTTTAGAAACAGTGGTAACGATAACAACTAGTAATAACTAAAATGCCTTCCGATAAGGAATCGGAGCATTGTCTGCCAGTTAGGAAACCGCTTCGCTTTTTAGCATTACTGATTTTGTAGGCGGTGAGTACGAGCATGGTTTTATCCTGTTTTATTTTGTCTCCATCTCCAGTGCAGTCGGTTTCAGAAGACCTGCAGCGATATGTGCAGAAGTTGAAACGAGATGGAACGCTGAAGAGCTGTGTAGAAGACCCTAAAGGGTAAGGACTCACCAAACTCGTCCCTTGTGGAGTGTAGGCAGTGAGTCGTATCGCTTTTGGGGGCGGCGGGGGGGGAAAGGGGGTAGCCTGAACGCAAAATGCATCCGTTGCCACGTACGAGGACCTCTGCTAGCAGAAACCGTCCTAACCCAGTTGTGTCAAAACGCTTTGGGTTCATTTAAACATTTTAATTAGCTGGCTTCCCTCATCCGGGCAGCTATAACAGAAGCAGGGAGGGAAGGCTAACCTGCAGCTGTCCCAGCAGATTTTTTTGGGGGGTGAAACTTTTAAATGGGAAAGAAACCACTCTGTGTTATCCCTTTGTACTCCCTGGAGAGGGGAGTGGTTCCTACAGACCAAAGAAGATTTTGCCTATTAAACAAATGAATAAATATATATAAAAATCACAGGTATACGCGCGTGGATTGTATATTTGGGGGATCACACGTAGCTGGGGTTGTTAGGCCTGGAGATGAGGAGGCTCCGGGGAGACCTTCATAGCGGCTG